CTGCTGCTGTCCTTCTTACAGTATAAATGTGTTTTCAGAGAAGAAGACGGCCAGTGGAAGGAAGAGCAGAAACTGGAGGCTCATAGTGACTGGGTTCGAGATGTAGCCTGGGCTCCATCCATAGGTTTGCCAACAAGTACCATTGCTAGCTGTTCACAGGTGAGGCTTTTATTGGACTGACATGGGCCGGCTCTAAATGCCCAGAGCTGCTGTGTGGAAGTGCAACCATAATACAGAGACTGTTTTTTCTATTTTTTTTCTGTATTACAACTTTTGGTCCAACCAACTTGCTCTGCTTGCTTCTGTAGGATGGCAGAGTGTTTATCTGGACATGCGATGATGCCTCTGGAAATTCATGGTCACCAAAACTGCTGCACAAGTTCACTGATGTTGTCTGGCATGTGAGCTGGTCCATTACTGCAAATATTCTTGCAGTGTCTGGAGGAGACAATAAAGTGAGTGCTGCAGCCTTGGCTTTTACTCTTGCATGCCATATTTCCAGAAGAGTGGAGATGAGACAGGGCACTGTCACTTCTGTTGCTTGCATGAAGGCTGTTGCAGATTCATATTTGATTGCTGTGGTGGGGCAATTTTTGTTTTTTTGACTTGTCAAAAGGGGAGGGGAGGAAGAACCTAACCCTTGGTGAACTGCTTGCACTGCATTTTGCTTAGTCCTTACTAGTAGTTGGAAATGCAGACTTAATCTTATTTTGTAGGATAGTCATCTGTATTCACATCCTCTTTTCTTATCATTGGTAATGATATACATTAACAAATATACAGTAGACAGCAACAAATAACTTGATACAGAAGTCAAATGCTTGCAGGATTGCTTTAAATAACTGACCATCACTGAAGTAGCGTTGAGGTCATAGTTGCAAGGCAATATGAATGGGAAACTGAAAAAAAATGTATTGAGGCCAAAATTTTTTCCTGATCTGTTTTTGAGGTCACGCTATGGAAGGAATCAGTAGATGGACTGTGGGCATGCATCAGTGATGTCAACAAGGGCCAAGGAGGAGTGTCTGCCGTTACAGAGGGGCAGCAGAATGAGCAGTGACATGTGGGTGAACAGTCCAGCTGCATCAAGTGATCATTATCCCTGATTTGTAATGTCTTGAACCAGATAAGAACTGCTTTTATCTAGACTGGACATGAATATTCAAATTTATGGTCACTCTATAACCATGAATGGCAGGCTACAATATGTTGATGATCAGCCTTAATTGACATTCCCTTAAATTAAAGGTAAAGAGCATAGCAAGGCTCAGTGTCTTCTACTACTCCTTGATGCTGTAAAAACTGCAACCTGCCTTCTGGTTTAGAGATCAGATTCAATTAGATAGTGCCTGACGTCTGACTGAAGCACGAGTAGGAACAGGAGGAGGCTGTCACAAAGTGCTGACACACGACAACTTTCTCCAAGGGGACAAATAGCTAGCGCTCTTAAAGGCTGAAGTTTTCTTTGCAGTGAAGGGGGGCTGGGGGAGTTCTCAGGATTAAGGTGAAGAGAATTGCTGTTGTCCTGTCATCCGCATGGTTGGCCTCTGCGCCTTCCTTAAGTTGAAAAGGAGTAGTGGAATACATATGTCTTTTGCTTTACAATTATCTCATACTTGGTTATTTAAACAACAGATCATCAAAATTTAATTTGAAAGGTTTTTTTAGCCACTCTTCTGTACTGTACTTTTTTTTAAGATACCAACAGAATAAAGTCTTATTGGTTAAAGGCTGGTGTGCTGTATTATTAGATATGGTTTCTACAAGGGCCTTGTTAAGACTGTCCACAGTGTCCCTTTAGACATGCCACTGTGCTGTTCTCATCTCATCCGATGTTAGTCCAGTAACGACTACCAGTATAATGAAGTGCTTCAGAAAACTAATAGCTTCCCAGCTATTTAGTATAAAAAAAGAAAATGAAAACAGGTACCTAAATACAGTAGAAGGCAATATCTCTTCCTCCTAGAATGGGTCTTACAGAGAGCAAGAGAACACAAACTGAAGTTTTGCCTTCAGCTAAACTGCTCCATGCTATTGCAATTCAGACAAGACTATTCTACTCGGCAACCCCAATTCCAATATGCCTTCACCTGAAGGACAGTTTTCAGATAGCTCTTCTCACCTCCCACAACAGGTAAAGCACTTAACTAAAAGGTCCATTTCCCATCTGTTCTCCAGTTGCACTGGAACAACAAATGAACAACTTGCAGCCTTCCTCTTTCTCCAAGGTAATTGTTCCTATGCATGCTCTTGTTTCTGGTACACTTAAGATAACATACACCTTTCTTTTCCAGAAAGCAACCCTTGTTTTATGATAGTTATGTATACTGACCAAATAACATCCTAGCTTACCTCACAGAAACACATACACAAATTATCTTTTACATGCCAACAAGAGTATGTGACATTCCTGTTCTTGTTTAAATGCTCTGTAGCCTTACCCCAAAAAACAAATCAACTTACTCAAAAAACAACATTATTCACACAGTTCCTTTTCAAAATAAACAGCAAAGAAGCATTTTCTTTAGTAAGGCGATGATGACAGCTTCTGAGGGCATCTGTCCTTTAATTTTTATGAATTTTAATACTTAGTAGTTCATATGTATTCAGTGGCAAGGTCTGATTCAGTCTTATTATCCCCTCATACTTAAAATGCAGGGTACTAGAGTGGGTTTAAGTAACAATCAAAACATCTCCAGCAATTACAACAGATAAGACATTGCTTTATTTTAGAAGTTACACAAAAAGTTTATCCATTGCAAATTTATATACTAGGTGAAAGTTTCTGAATTGCTCTTAAGGCTTTTGGATCTTTAATCCCTTCTTTTCCACCTACTCAGGGACAGGGTTAGAGAGAAAAAAAAACACCAAACATCAAGACAAGTTTCATCTGTGCCCGGTTGTATAACATTTTCTCCTCACAGTGCACCAGTCTCTTTTTCATTAGCTGAGGGGAAAGGTTTGCATCTTATTTATGATGACTGAAAGGCGTTCCTACATGAGAAATGAAGTTCTACCATTCAATCTGCATCATTAAGTTTATGAAGTTTCTAGCATAAGATGTCTCCCACTGATACACTGATAATTAGACTGTCTTTAATGGCAACTGTGGTCACTACTGAAACTTTTAATTAAAATCCTTGGGGGTTACCACACTAATTTAGATAGGTTGTCACATGGATTGATACCTTACATTTCTGTTTTCTTCACTAACTTGGAGTGCTGACACCCTTAATAAAGCAGATTATGTGGAGTGAAAGACAAGCTCCTGAAAGCTACAAGGGAATGCTCAATCGCATTAATTCAGGAACTATAATTCCAGACCAGATCAAAACACAAGGCACTACAAAAAATGCAAGGAGCTTCTGCTTCCTCATCATTGTTTCAGATGGGATCCAAAAGCTCTCCAAATACTGTTATCATCACCAGCCTTCCCTGTGCTGTTGGGAATTTTTGATTAGCAGGCCCTCAGATAGAAGACAACACGAAGATCTAACTCTCTTACAATTTCTTCCAACTAGGTTTGTTGCTAGAGGGATTTGTGACCCAACACCTCTATTTGTTCTCGGCTCCCTTATCACAGATACCAGCTCCCCTAGTTTTACCAGCTCAACTGGTAAACCTGTTGACATGTTTGACTGTATACAGGTTGACTGTAAACATGTATAGACATGTTTCTGAAGTGCTAAAGAAATTTGCATTATTTCACAGATCTGATTTACAGCATGACTGTGCAATATTTGAGATAGCCCACGTAAAAAGCAACAACATGAGACAGGGAAGGAGGGAACTTGTTAAATCGTGTTTGCAGAAGAAATCCAAATGGAACTGCATCCCAGATAATACTCATTTTCCAACTCAACAGATGTGCTACAGAGACGATCTTACTTGGCCAGAGCGCAGTTACCATGGTTATAGAGAAGCTCCATATTACAATTTATCCAACGTCAAAGCTAATTTAACTAAAGCCCTCCTTTTCCCATCTCTGAACATTTCCCATATGCCTTCCCTTCCCCGGGTTATACCAGGGCAAGTTTGTGGGGCTGCAAATGTGAAAGGGATCCTACAGATAAGCCATGTCAAGCAAGTCTAACTGAAATAGAAGTAACAGAAGTTTCTAATTTGTCTTCCTTCACATATATTCCTTCTTTATTCCTCTGAAGTAAAAAATCACAATATTCCCAGTTTCTCTCCATGAGATTTTCTAGACAGCCATTGCTGCTAAGCCTCAGTGAAGTTCTTTAAATTTTTTACGATAATGAAAGTAAAGCTCACCAGGTACCCTTTTCAGTTTGAGTCCTCTAGCAAAAGACGACAACATCTGATAAAACAGAAATTGAGAGCGAATACAGAAGGAGGGAAACGCACTTACAGGCAAAAAAGGAGAAACACTATTTTCACCACAGGTCAGGAATAAAGATCAGCTTCTCCGTTACTGTTACAGCACCTCAAATAACAGTAATGTTATTTTCCCCCTTTGAAAAAAAAATATGCCTTACAGCCATTCATTTATTTTTCCCTACACAATTTCATTATATGTAAAAGTAAATGCAGCAACAGAACTATGCACTATTTCCATTTTTTGTTGATTTTTGTTATCATATAAGCAGGCCAAGTTTCCAAGGAGCTCAAATAAATATCAGATTGCATTTCCAGTTATATCGTCACACAAAATAAACATTTCACTTGGTATATAAAGCACTTTAAAAAAGCAGACATTTGGTGAAACCACAAAACTAGGCAGGTAAAGCTTCAGACAGCTTTTGTCTCTTTTCCTGTATAATTCCTCTCTGCTGGCCCATATTCTTCAGTTGTAATATTTTAGTTACAGAAGAAAATACGGTAAGCAACAATCTTTTGGACATAGTATTTTTACTTTTAACATACGAAAACTGTGTTTGTTTTATACATCCAACTTTAGAAACAAGTATTTCGGGACAAATTTTGTAACTGGATCTGGATTAAATTAAATAAAGAGAAATACTGTAAAATACATTTAATTTTCCAACCTGTGTTTTCAGGTTTGACACACTGTTTACTGAAGATGGTCATGTTTCTCAGAGGTGCTCTGCTTGGAATTCTCCTCTTCAGTGTTCTCTGGACAGAAACTACTCTGGCTGGCTCTAGTTTTTTAAGCCCTGAATATAAGAAAATACAGGTAAAAGATCCAGAATAATACTTTTTCAAAGTTGTCCTCCCCTAAGAGATCTTAAAACCAAGATTCTTTAAAACGTTCAGATAAGCCTTTAGAAGTTATAGTTTCTGAAAAAGGCAAGATTTACACCAGAGAACTTACATAACAAACCATTAGCACTGTATACGTGCTTGAGAATTAAGATCTAATCTCGTTCACTAAGAATTAATAATCTAAAAAGGAATTATTAGAGAGAAAGTAGCCATTTAAGTAATTTGTTGGAAGCATCTGTTTTCTTTGGAAGTGAACCAGAAGGTGGCTGTTCTGTAAGGAACTCTTAAACCAAATCCCTGTAAGGAGGAATGTAGTAATAGTTGTACAATTATTATAGACATGTGAATCTACATAGCTTTAAAAGAAGCTGATGATGCCATCCACTAGCTTGCTGCATCTATTAATCGTGGATTCTAATTTCTCTGCTAATTTGATTATAGAAAGAATATGTAGATGTTATTTTGCTTGCTTTCCAGAAACAAAAGGATCCAAAAAAGCCAACAACAAAATTACACCGTCGAGGCATGGAAGGTTTTTCAGATACAGATGAAGCGTGGGCAGAAGATGACAGTAACAGTATTGAAATTAAGGTTTGCATTTTTCCCTCTTGATCACACACAAGTTTAAGAGGTGGGGCTGGGGGCAAGGGGAAGGTGTATTTTGTGTCACATGAAGTAGTACAAATGAAAACTACATTCACATTCAACTTGAAAGGCAAGTAGGAAAAGGCACATTAGAACTGCACGCACTGATGGCATGAAATAATTTAAAATTGACAGCAGTAAGTCAGATCACAATCTCCTACTAAATATTCACTCAAGTTTTGAAACTCGCCTATAATAGTTTCTTCTAAAGCTTTCTTTTCCCCAGTTTATTGGGCAATTTGGTCTACAGTAGCTATATACCCCATTTCTCAGATTTTGATTTCATGTCTCAATACTTATAAATGCATAGACAGAACAACTTTTCACATATCTTGCTTGTCATTGTTCCCATGAATAAAATTTGCAATGCCCTTGTCCAGGAACTTGCCCATTAAACTGCTGTCTTTTAATGTTTTTACAGTTTAATGTTCCCTTTGAAATTGGTGTCAAGATCACAGAAGACCAGTATCAGGAATATGGACAAGTGCTGGAGAAGATGCTAGGGGACATTCTTGAAGAGAACACTAAAGGTACTTTCAACCAAGTCTCCAAAGTAGAGATTCAAAAAAATAAACAAAAATCAAAAACCTTTGCCATCTAATGAGTCACGTAAAACATTCAGAACAGTATTTCAGAAGTGACTGTGAGCAAATGACCACTGAGAGAGCCACTAAAATAACTGATGTTCAGAAAATGTTGGCTGAACTTTGAAGTATCGCATTAAAATATATTTTAAAAGGAGGCAGGAGGCTTCCTTTCTTTCCACTACCGATCTTTTTTCCACACCCCCCCTCAAACCTCAGCCATTTCCCTGTCTGCTCAGCTAAGAAAGACGTTCAGGCTTTTCATGGTGAAGTTTATCAAAAACATCGTTGCATCTAAGCTAGTTCTAGCTGATTTACTGATAAGTAATGTTGTAATGACTAAATCCCACCCCATAAACCGCCTGTTTTTTGCCTTCAGAACCTTTCACATTTTATTTGCACTCTCTCATAATGCTGACCTTCCTGAATATCTCATTTCAACGGTTACGTCAGTCTTGACAGCTATATTATACTTTCCAAGTACAAATCCCTTTATGCTTCTGCTTTCACCCTGCTTTGCAGGCTCCCAGCACTCTCTCTCAAGCTCTTTTCTCTGTCCACCTTCAAACTCCTGAAGTGCTACTTCTCCTATGGCTGTTACACAAGTCAGTTATATTCTACAGGGGCAAGTACGCCTAAAACTGTGAAAGCCATCTTCTCTTCTGCCTTCATTTGAGTGTTTGTGAAGCTTTTGGAGAGGTTAACAAAACAGGACTTTCACAAAAATACTAAGACTATCAATCAAAAACTATCCATTATCAAATACAACATCTAACTATTAACAACTAGTGAGTTGACAGCTGACTATCTAACATTTATCTTCTGCATTTTTAGAAACGCAAATGAAAAACTGAAGCAAGCTGAAGGACAAAGGCAGCACCAACACTATTCCACCTGCAATGTTTTTAAGTTTTACTTTAAAATGAAACTATTACTGATTTCACAACAGTAAATAGGAAAGATGTACATGAGCCTGAATAGTGTGCTCTGATAAAAAGCACGATGCTAACAGATGATCTTTTATGGAATACAAACAAGAATAGCAAAGAGGATGATTAATAGCAGGCTGACATGTAGGCTTATTTTATCTCTTTCTTGGGAAATATTGTGATTATTCTAACTTTGAAAGCTGTATGAATCCATTCTAAAACTGATGGAAACTTTTCTTACACTTCTATATGCATCTGTCAGAGAATAAAAACTTATGTTGAAACTGCATTTACTTGTTATAATTTTTAAAAACCGATCAAACTAGATATTTCATGTAAAAATAGAGAATAAGCTATGCAAACTAACACATGGAATCAGCTTTCAGTTGCCAAATGAGCTTAATTGCTAAGGGATGTGTTAACATGCTAACATAAAGGAAATCATCCAATATCTCAAGTTAAAAAACAATTTTCCAGTTAACTTACTGGGATTCAGAATCATATGCTAGATATCACAGAACAACAAGGCAATTTTTCATGCTTTCAAATGCATGAACCGGTATGTTCCACTGCACACATTATTTTTGTACCTCAGCAATTAAATGCTTTTGAAAGCCAAAATAAACCCTCACCTGGAGATCTGTTAATCCATGAACATTTGCTAGGCTGTACTCACAAAAACATTCAAAAAGTACTCTTGGACAGACTAGCGTAACAAAAGTGAATCCAACTGCAACATTTCCCAGGTAGGTTCTTTCTTCCTGTCACAAAATTAATCACCTAAATGAAATCATTGCTTTGATGCTGCTAGCACCATCTTTTGTTGCACTGTACCAGAAGGCAAACAAGAATTAGAGGCGAATGGATATGGATTGAAAAGGAGCGTACAAGAAACAAAGATGCTTAGAACTCTTATCACCCGTTCAGAAAACCATAATCTTTTGATGTAACAACCAGAAGAAATAATGCAATAGTTTTCCTCCACATTATATAACATTTCCAGATCTTACCAACATTTCCTCGACAATTCCTGCAAGTCATACATGTGCCTAGTGTTCTCCTGCAGACGTGCAGTCTCTTTCACAGCATCCAAAGCCAGTGCAGCGCAAGAATGCTGACATATACTTTTTGAAACCCACAGAAGTGTTATGAAAGGGAAGAGTTATTTCTATTTTCTTTAATGCCAAACTCCTATCATTACTTTCACAGCAAGTCTACAGCTCATGTTTAAATGTTATTTCTGGAAAAATATTTAGTGTTTTTAAAGCATATTTCGTGGAAACATCAGTCAACCAATAATCTGCACAACAGTACAGAAAGGAAACCGTTGGCCGGAGATACTGTATAAATCCTTCCTTAGAAAGGAGCACTGTAGGTAGGATCTCAATTTCTAGAATTCTGACAGAACTGGACAGGATTCAGTCATCAAGGCATTGGTATTAAGCGCATCAGTCTGCGGCACAGCATATTAAGTGGCCCATTGTAAGATTGCCTTTAAATCAGTGTTTCCTGATGATTTAGAGAAAAACCTCAGACCTATAAATGTGTGTAGTCTTGCCTCCTCTGCAAATATACCATCAGCCTCAAGAGGGTAGTAAGACCTAATAATGCAGAGACAAACCAGGTCTCAAGTGCTTTCTTACCTGCCTAGGAAGGGAATAAGAAGCATCAGTTTCCTCAAGTATTCTGTTCAAAGGGATTTTTCTTAGTCTCTCTTGCTTTGGAGGCAGAAGAATAAGTAAGCAAGGCAGTAAATCCCAGCATTAAGTGGGGGGGGGGAGGGGGAAGCTAACAGAGAAATTAGCTGCTTAACTTGAGCATTCAGTAAAACCAATTGTTCTAATCAGAAATTACATATAAAGAATGCCAAGAAAATGACCTAGCCAAGATCCAAGGAATTATTTCACCAAACTCAATCAAAGCAAAAGCATGTCTTTTTTTCCACCAACTCAGATCTAGACCATATTTGCTTGGTAATAATGTATCTAACCAAACCAAAAACTGTAACAAGAACTTCATCAAACTCCAGTTTCTGCAACCAAATAGAATTGTTTCTGACAGTGCACAGGCTCGAACCCAAACCATATTCTATATGCACAATGTAACAACATGACAAAACACTCCTGCACAACCTGGAGCCTCCCACAAGATTACGCACACATTTGATTATGTCTATAAGTACTATTTGGAGGGGAGGGAGGCAAGGAAGAAAGGAAGGGAAGAAAAACAGAAAAGTACATTCTAAGTCAAATTCCTGAAGACTACCCTAACCAGGAAGCTATTTTTCAAATGGGTCACCATTTCTAGGTTACTTGGTGCCAACAGTTATGAATTTTTCATGCTGCAGCTGAATATGCTTGTGATTAGTTCTCACTAATAATTTGAGATAATTGAAATAATGAATGAAAGAAAAATCACACGAGGGAAAGGCAAATGCAACCATCACAGGACTCTCACCTTCAGCTGTAATCAGTCTGTAAATTGAAGAGGATGCAGTACCATTTTCTTCCAACACCTTTATGAATTCAAGTACAAGCTGTCTTGCACTAATCAGAGATCATTATCCAATTGTGAAAAAGAAATAAGATAACTTGTTAAGCTACAATCTATCTAGTTCCTAGGGCGATATACCATATTAAAGAAAAAAAAAAAGATGGACCCCCCTCCCCCAAATAGCAGCTACTATTGAATGCCTTTACATACCTAATTCTTTATAGATTAGGGAAGTAGAGAACAGCCAATCACTTCTAATGTAGTAGTTCTCCTATCTAGTAGATATGTAATAACTTCTTTTCTGTAACAGTGTATCACTAGACTTGGCTTTACAAAACAGGAACTCGAAAAGTAAGAAACAGACAAAAACTGTTTTATCTTCTTCATTCAAATATTCTCATTAAGATCCCAAATACATTTCAAAACATCTCATTCAACACAGCCATTCTTCTGAACTCACCACCCGTTCTTCCGAACTCAGACACAATTCATCCACAGACGTAGACTCTGGAGAGACCTCTTCAAGAGCTGTCCTTCGATACGTCACGGCACACTCTTTAAAGTCACTCTGAATGATATCCGGACTGCCACAAGGTCTTTCCTAAGGAACGGAGGAAGTGCTATAAAACTCTACCTATCAGTCCCTATGTGCGGGCATTCAGGATCCCAGAGCAGGAAGGCAAAGCATCCTGAGACCTTTGCAGAGCTACAGGCTACAATGTCTACTTCAAAACTGCGATCACAAACTGTTCCTCTTGGGGGCAAAACAAATAGTTGTGCCTTATGGGTTTCCTGCTGGCTGACAAGACAACCAGCATTGGAAGACATTTGCACAGTATGAAAAAGAAAGTTTGTCATTACAATCACTCCATACACAGTGACCTTTTTGTAGCTGTACTATCCTAGAAAACATTTTCATAAGTAAATAAGTCACTTTTCCCTAAAAATTTTGTCACCTCATTGGACCAACATCTGATTTGCACTACCTTAAATATTTGAGAAGGGCTGTCATTCCCATTTTCATCAGTGGAAGACTGGTCCGTCCATCAGTCTCCCTTTGCAGTCACTGCGACAGTACTGCTCCAGGTGTTTGTAGACCAGACTGTCAGAGAACAGCCGGCAGGGTGGTCGTCGTAGACCAGACTGTCAGAGAACAGCCGGCAGGGTAACTAGAAACGGACAAATCTCATTCCTTAAGTTCTGCTCTCACCCCTCTTCCCCTTACAAGGAGGCATACCAGTGTCCGTCTGTTTGACTAATAACATTAAATGAACATCAGCCATCACAGGATATCAAACAAGATTTAGACTACACCATCAGAGAACCCCGGTAACTGGGTAAACAAGCTAAAGAGAATATGACTATTTTGGGCCAACACAAAACAGACACTCAGCGTGTTGTGGTTTCATAGCTTCATTTGTATCTACATACAATATATAAGTTTTGATGGAGCTTTGCCTTTTAAGAAAGCCTGAAGGTCTATAGAGAGAAGCCAGTTACAGTAAATGCAACAAAAGAGAAAGTGGCACTGTTGAAATAGAGGATTTTTTTAAAGACAGCACTATAACTATAGTGCTTTCTCAACCCATTATGTTCTGTCTTGGAGTTTATTGCGAGGACAGGAAGCCCATATTTGAAAGACTTCCACAAATAAGTATTACTTCATGATTAAAATCAAGAGCGGCAGGAACAGTACTAGAAGGTCTTTACAACACAGGAACGAATGACGACAGACAGCTCTTCCAAAGCTCATTCACGGAAGGAAAAAGGAAACGGTGACTGAAAGCTTAGCTTGCACACGCATTCGTGAGCTCGTTTTCAGTAACAGAGCTCAGGTATCACCGACGCCACTTTTGCAGGACTGACCGACGATGAGACGGTGTTATCGTTTTAAGAAGAAAACACGACCAAACTTTGGCGCCTTTACAGCGAGACCCAGCCGGGAAAGGCGCTGCTTTCCCTGCGCTCCCCCGACGGCCTCCCCGGCCCCGAGGCGAGGGCGCGAAGGGCG